CCTTTAATTCAGCTCTGCAGGTGGCCATCCAGGCTTTGTAATAATAATAATAATAATAATAATAATAATAATAATAATAATAAATTTGTTATTATATAATGTATAATATTTAATAATGATGATAATAGAAGAAACCTCAGGGGTCATCCAGTCCAGCCATTTTTATTCTGCCCTGCAGGTGGCCATCCAGGCTTTGTAATAATAATAATAATAATAATAATAATAATAATAATAATAATAATGTAGAATAACAACAACAGGAGCAACTTCAGGGGCCATCCAGTCCAACCCCCTTTATTCTGCCATGCAGGAAAAGCATAATCAAAGCACCCTCAACAGATGGCCACCCAACCTTTGTAATAATAATAATAATAATAAAAATAAATAACAATAATAATGATAATGATAATAGGAGCAACCCCAGGGGCCATCCAGTCCAGCCCCTTTTATTCTGCCCTGCAGGTGGCCATCCAGGCTTTGTAATAATAATAATAATAATAATAATAATAATAATAATAATAATAATGTATAATATTTAACAACAACAACATCAATAACAATAACAATAGAGACCTCAGAGGCCATCCAGTGCAACTTCCTTCTGGCATGCAGGAAAATTACATTCAAAGCAACCCCAACATATAGCCATCCAGCCTTTGTTTATTATTATTATTATTGTTATTATTATTATTAGAAACACAACAAGATGAGTCCACATGTCAGACACTTCCCAAGTGCCTAGGACTATTATTATTATTATTATTATTACTATTATTTGAAACACAACAAGATGAGTCCACATATCGGACCCTTCCCAAGTGTCTAGGACCGTGTGATGTATCGGAGAATGATGTGTGCAGATCAGAATAAGGTGGCCTTTTGCAGCTGGCAGATGGGGATTTTGTCAGCACCGAGTTTGTTTAAGTGCAGGCCAAGGTCTTGAGGCACTGCGCCCAGTGTGCCCATCACCACTGGGACCACCTTTATTGGCTTGTGCCAGAGTCTTTGCATTATTATTATTATTATTATTTTATTATTATTATTATTATTTAATTATTATTATTACTATTATTATTATTACTATTACTATTATTGTTATTATTTAATTATTATTATTAATTAATAATTTATTATTATTACTATTACTATTACTATTATTACTATTATTACTATTATTATTATTACTATTATTATTATTTATTAATAATTTATTATTATTATTAATTATATAATAATTATAATTATAATTATAATAATGCAAAGACTCTGGCACGAGCCAGTCAAGGGGGTCCCAGTGGTGATCAGCAAATTGGGGGGGTTGGACTGGTGGCCCCTGGGGTTGCTCCTATTATTATTATTATTATTATTATTATTATTATTATTATTTCATAATAATAATAATAATAATAATAATAATAATAATAATAATAGGAGCAACCCCAGGGGCCACCAGTCCAACCCCTCAATTTTGCTAGGCAGGAAAAGCACAAACAAAGCCACCTCGACAGATGGCCACCCAGCCACAGTGCTATTATTCCAGGCGAAGAGGCCTGAGCAAAGCAGAATGGAGAGGCCCGATTGACGTCCCTTGACGTGGACACCAGACTCCTTCTGATGCAGCCCCAAATCCCTTTGGCTTTTTCTGTTGTTGCTTTACACTTGTGTATATTGCCCTATGGAACAACCAGTGGCGCAGTGGATTAAAGCACTGAGCTGCTGAGCTTGTTGACTGAAAGGTCGCAGGTTCGAATCCAAGGAGCGGCGTGAGCTTCTGCTGTCAGCCCCAGCTTCTGCCAGCCTACCAGTTCGAAAACATGCAAATGTGAGTAGATGAATAGGTACCGCTCTGGTGGGAAGTTAACGGCGCTCCATGCAGTCATGCTGGCCACATGTCCTTGGAGGTGTCTATGGACAATGACGGCTCTTTGGCTTAGAAATGGAGGTGAGCACCACACCCCAGAGTCGGACACGACTGGACTTGATGCCTGGGGAAAACCTATATTGCCCTATGGGTGTGCTTAGGGTGAGAGTTGTCCGCAATGGGAAACGGTTATTCTCAGTTCTAAGTTCTAGATGCGTGCTTGTTCTGGATGCCAGGCTGTTGGATCCAAGGCTGTGCGTGGCTGACCAATGCGCATCGCTCATCCCTAATGTGGGGACATTACGCAACCGCACCTGACACGGTTATTGTGCAAGGAAAGGACAAAGGCAATGATTCAGGGATGCTGGCAGCTGCGAGTTGGGGAGTGGGGTGCACCCGGGGGTCGCGACCACCCCTGGCGTCACTCCTCGCTCGGCGGTGCTATTCGCAGCATCCTGAACTTTCCATCATCCGCACATCTTGCCCACCTCGCGGGAGTGGGACTCAGCTGAGTCATTCCCTGCCAGCCTGACTCACTTTCGGAGCCAGTTGGGAGACTTTGGGGGGGGGGGGGGGTTGCACTTCAGGCACGCTCCTGCTCCAGCTTGCATACAAATTCAACTTACGAACAAAACTATAGAACCAACCTTGATTGTAATTTGGGTGTGTGTGCTCTGTGTGTGTATATACACATAGTTGAAGTTACACCTCAAAAATGTACCTGTTCCGGCTTACATACAGATTCAACTTATAAACAGACCTACAGAACCAACTTACATACAGATTCAACTTACGAACAAACCTACAAAACCAATCTTGATTGTAATTTAGATGTGTGTGCTGTGTGTGTGTGTGTGTGTGTGTGTGTGTAGGTATATATATATATATATATATACATATACACGCACACAGTTGAAGTTACACCTCAAAAATGTACCTGTTCTGACTTACATACAAACTCAACTCAACTTACGAACAGAACCAACTTACATACAGATTCAACTTATGAATAGACCTACAGAACCAATCTTGATTGTAATTTGGGTGTGTGTGCTGTGTGTGTGTGTGTGTATATATACACACACAGTTGAAGTTACACCTCAAAAATGTACCTGTTTGGAATTACATATAAATTCAACTTACAAACAGACCTACAGAACCAACCTTGATTGTAATTTGGGTGTGTGTGTTTTGTGTGTGTATAGAAAGAGAGAGAGAGAGAGTTGAAGTTACACCTCAAAAATGTACATGTTCTGACTTACATACAGATTCAACTTACGAACAAACCTACAAAACCAATCTTGATTGTAATTTAGATGTGTGTGCTGTGTGTGTGTGTGTGTGTGTGTGTGTGTATGTGTGTGTGGGTATATATATATATATATATACATATACACGCACACAGTTGAAGTTACACCTCAAAAATGTACCTGTTCTGACTTACATACAAACTCAACTCAACTTACGAACAGAACCAACTTACATACAGATTCAACTTATGAATAGACCTACAGAACCAATCTTGATTGTAATTTGGGTGTGTGTGCTGTGTGTGTGTGTGTGTATATATACACACACAGTTGAAGTTACACCTCAAAAATGTACCTGTTTGGAATTACATATAAATTCAACTTACAAACAGACCTACAGAACCAACCTTGATTGTAATTTGGGTGTGTGTGTTTTGTGTGTGTATAGAAAGAGAGAGAGAGAGAGTTGAAGTTACACCTCAAAAATGTACATGTTCTGACTTACATACAGATTCATCTTAAGAACAGACCCACAGAACCAACCTTGATTGTAATTTGTGTGTGTGTGTTGTGTGTGTGTGTGTGTGTATAGTTGGAATTACACCTCAAAAATGTACTTGTTCTGACTTACATACAGATTCAACTTAAGAACAAACCTACAGGACCAATCTTGATTGTAATTTGGGTGTGTGTATTGAGTGTGTGTGTGTGTGTATATATATGTATATATATATGTGTGTGTGTATATATGTGTGTGTGTGTATATATGTATATACCCACACAGTTGAACCTACACCTCAAAAATGTACCTTTTCCGACTTACATACAAATTCAACTTACGAACAGACCTACAGAACCAACCTTGATTGTATTTTGGGTGTGTGTTGTGTGTGTGTATATATATATATTAGGGCTGGGCGGTTTCGTTTCGTTAATTCGTAATTCGTTAATAATTCGTTAATTTTTCCAATTACAAAACGATAACGAACCATTCTGGAGCAATTTTTTAAAAAAACAAATTTTTAAAAAGTTTTGTAAATGCTTCGTATTTCGTTATTGTATTCATTTCGTTATTGTTCTGATGTCGTTTCGTTATTATTTCCGCATGTCTGGGGCAAGTTTTTTGTTTAATTAGTGAAAAAAAATTATAATATCACACCAACAGTCAACAACAGAGGGAGAGGGAAGCTTCAGAAGTTTTTGGAGGTTTTTTAGCGTATTTCGCGGTCGCGCCCGCCATTAACGAATCGATTCGTTATTGTTTCGGAAATCGATTCGTTAATGTTTTGTAATTTTTTTCACATTTACGAAATTTCGTAAATATCGAACTTTTTTAAGGGAAAATTTTGTAATTATTTTAAATATCGAAACAAAAAAACCCCCCAAATACAAATCGATTTTAGAAACAAATTTTTCCGTTGTTACCCAGGCCTAATATATATATATAGAGAGAGAGAGAGAGAGAGAGAGTTGAAGTTACACCTCAAAAATTTACCTGTTCCGACTTACATACAGATTCAACTTACGAACAAACCTACAGAACCAATCTTGATTGTAATTTGGGTGTGTATGCTGTGTGTGTGTGTGTATAGTTGGAGTTACACCTCAAAAATGTACCTGTTCCGGCTTGCATACAAATTCAACTTAAGAACGAATCCACAGAACCGATCTCATTCAAAACTTGGGGAGATAGATAGAGATAGAGATACAGACAAAACTTGTGTGTGTGTGTGTGTGTGTGTGTGTGTGTGTGTGTGCATCTGCCCAAGTTAAAAACGAGATCGGTTCTGTAGATAGATATAGATATATAAAGATATAGATATAGATATTTGGCTGGAATTATACTTCATAGGCACAAGGGAGTGTGTCCAGTTGGTCAGCGGAATTACCTCGCTCGAGCTCGGCCACCCGTTCCAGCAAGGCGTTGAGGGCGGCCTCGGTCTTCTGCCGGTGGGTGGAGGTCTCGTTGTGCAGCTGCGTCTTCTCGCTCTCCAGTTCGGCCACTTTGCTCATCAGCTGCCGCTCGAGGTCTCCCAGCCTCCTTTGCAGCATCTCTCGGAGGTCGTTCGGCAGGGCCGCGAACGAGATGTTTGCGCGGAGCTGGTGCTTCAAGAAAAAGAAGGAAAGCAAACATCTGTTATAGAAATCCAATATGCTGATGATAACATAGTCTGTGCTCATTCAGAAGAATACTTACAACATCCATTATAGAAATCCAATATGCTGATAATAACATAGTCTGTGTTCATTCAGAAGACCTACAACATCCATTATAGAAATCCAATATGCTGATAATAACATTGTATTCATTCAGAAGAAGACCTACACCCATTATAGAAATCCAATATACTGATGATAACATAGTCTGTGCTCATTCAGAAGAAGACCTACAACATCTGTCATAGAAATCCAATATGCTGATGATAACATAGTCTGTGCTCATTCAGAAGAAGACCTACCATGTCTGTTATAGAACTTCAATATACTGATGATAATATAACCTGTGATCATTCAGAAGAAGACCTACAACATCCATTATAGAAATCCAATATGCTGATGATAACATAGTATGTGCTCATTCAGAAGACTTCCAACATCCATTATAGAAATCCAATATGCTGATGATAACATAGTCTGTGCTCATTCAGAAGACTTCCAAAATCCATTATAGAAATCCAATATGCTGACGATAATATAGTCCGTGCTCATTCGGAAGAAGACCTACAACATGAACGATAGAAATCCAATATGCTGATGATAACAGTCTGTGCTCATTCAGAAGAAGACCTACAACATCTATTATAGAAATCCAATATGCTGATGATAACATTGTCTGTGCTCATTCAGAAGAAGACCTACACACCATTCTCAATATCTTTGCAGAATAACACAAAAAGCTTGGCCTCTCATTGAACATCAAGAAAATCAAGCCACCTCTCCACAAAAGTCAATATCAACAGTGAAATACAACACCACTTGAGCTCTGCGAGTGCATCATATTTTTTCCGAATGGAACAGAGAGCCTTTGAGGATCAGGACATTCATAGGGAGACCAAGGTGCTTGTTTATGAAGTTATTGCCCTCCCAATCCTGGAAATCAATGTCCTCACTGCTGAAGAGTGAACATGGGGATCAAGAATAAGTATCAACAGTCACCTACAGACCCACCACCAAGACACTTGGAAAGCAATCATACTCAGCCACAAGAGTTCGCTTATGATTATGATCCATAATTATCTCAGATCCCACCAAACCACAGCTTTAGAAAAGGTAACCTTTTCACACTCTAATTCCCCAAATTCTCCAGAAGTTGCAGTCCAAAAGAAGCCACAATTAATACATACATACACACACACACATCTACATATACGTCTTCACCTACATCCTCTACATCTGCATCTATGTCATCTACATTTACATATACATCCTCTACATCTGCATCTACGACATCTGTATCTTTCTATTTTTTTATTTGAACTTTTTTATCCCGTTCTTTTCTACCTCCGTGGAGGGACTCAGAATGGCTAATCTACATCAGACATAATCTACATTGTCATCGTCATCTACATCTACATCATCTACATCATCTACATCTACATCCACATCTATGTAATTTACATCTACATCATTTACATCTACGTCTTCTACCTCTACATCTACATCTACATCATCTACATCTACATCAACTCCATCTACATCTAGGTCATCTACATCTACATCTACATAATCTACTTCTACATCATCTACATCTACATCTAAATCATCCTCATCTACATCGTTATCAACATCTATATCTCTACATAATCTACATCTACATCTAGGTCATCTACATCTATGCCTATGTCATCTACATCTACATCTACGTCATCTACATTTACATCATCTACATCTACATTATCTACATCTATGTCTACATCTACATCATCTACATCATCCACATCATCTACATCTACGTCATCTACATCTATATCTATCTATCTGTATATACATACATATATACTAAGTCTGTGTGACCAACGGAAAAAATGTTTTGATACTCATTACAAAATTGGGGGGCGGGTGGGCGGGAGGGCGTAATCCCATCAAGTTTCAAAACATTTTGCTCATCTAGTGATTTTTGTGGAATAAAAAATAAGCACCATTTTTAGCCATTGGACACTAACTACTAGACCTGTAGGGTCAATGAAAAACGTTTCAATACTCATTACTAAATTAGGGGGTGGGGAGGAAATAGTTTCTAACGTATTTTGAAATAGGACGGGGTTCTGTATCGTATCTATAATGAAGTAACTAATTTTCATCACTTTGTCATTCAGTAATTAATTGTGCCAATGGGGAAACTTCAGGGTCTCCTTTATCCCTCGTTGTTAGTGCTATTGGCATGAAACTTACTACAATTACGGAACACATTTACCACTGTTAGCCCACCAATTTTCAGAACATTTTGCTCATCCATTGACATTTAGATAGTTTTTTAAATTGTCATCTTTCTTTCTCTAATTTCACAAAACACAAGTAGAAATATCAAATATAGAACTTCAGCTGAGAGCAATCTCCTTGCATTTCTCTACAATGACACAACACAACCAGGGCATCGTTCCCCCCAAGTTTCAGAAAGATTCGCACATCTACTGATTTTTGGGGAATTTGCTTTAAACTAGGCATAGTCTTAACTGCAGCATAGTGTTGTTGGAAAAACAAGAATAACACAACCCCAAAGTGGGAACCATTGAGCCTTTTTAGTCCTGTACTAGCTGTCCCCTGCCATGCATTGCTGTGGCCCAGTCTGTGTGTTTTTCATGTTTTGTGTGTGTATATATTTGTGTACATGTGTATATATGTGGTTTTGTGCATGCATTGTAATGCAATTTTTTTATTTTGGGCTTTTAAAGTCTCTTCTGTTATGTTTTTTAGTGTTTTATGAGTGATGGTCACTTGTTGGCCTGAGAGGTGTCTTGTGTCCAAATTTGGTGTCCATTCATCCAGTGGTTTTTGAATTATTTGAATCCCACAAACAAACATCATATTTTTATTTGTATACACTAGCCATCCCCTGCCACACATTGCTGTGGCCCACATGGGGGGTGCTGTGTGGGAGATTTGGCCCAATTCTATCATTGGTGGGGTTCAGAATGCTCTGTGATTGTAGGTGAATTATAAATCCCAGCAACTACAACTCCCAAATGTCAAGATACTATTTCCCCCCCAAACTCCACAAGTTTGGTTCAGATCCATCATTGATTGAGTCCACAGTGATCACTGGATGTAGGTGAACTACAACTCCAAAACCAAAAGACACTGCCCGCCAAACTCTTCCAGTATTTTTTGTTGGTCACGGGAGAACTGTGTGCCAAGTTTGGTTCAATTCCATCTTTGGTGGGGTTCAGAATGCTCTTTGTTTGTAGGTGAACTATAAATCTCAGCAACTACAACTTCCAAGTGTCAAGTTTGGTCCAGATCCATCATTGATTGAGTCCATAGTGCTCTCTAGATGTAGGTGAACTACAACTCCAAAACCAAAGGAGAGTGCCCACCAAACCCTTCCAGTATTTTCTATTGATCATGGGAGAACTGTGTGCCAAGTTTGGTTCAATTCCATCATTGGTGGGGTTCAGAATGCTCTGTGATTGTAGGTGAACTATAAATCCCAGCAACGACAACTCCCAAATGACAAAATCAATATTTTTTTGGGGTGAAGGACATACATTGGGTTGTTAGGTGTATTGTGTCCAAATGTGGTGTCCATTCATCCAGTGGTTTTTGAGTTCTGTTAATCCCACAAACGAACATTACATTTTTATTGATATAGATTGGTTCTTCTGGTATTTCATCCCATCTTTCAATAGGAAAAAGTACAATAGTTTTCTTCCTCCTCAAATAATAAAGTCATTTCTTGTAGAAAAACATCGGCCGTTACCTAAGCAATGTGTGTCTTAATTTTTTACTATGAAAAAGCTAAGAGGTTCCGGGAAGCGAATGTTGTTGATTTCACGGTGCAATAATTGCTCCCTGGACAATTGACGATACGTATATTTAGCAAGAGACAAACCCTCCCCTGATGGAAGAAGCAGTGAACAAGAATACACAAATGGGGAAAAATCATTCAAAGCCATGAAAGAGAAGGAGCAAAATAATAATAATAATAATAATAATAATAATAACAACAACAACAACAACAACAACAACAACAACAACAACAACAACAATATGTCTTCAGGCATCGAGTAATGAAGGGCCAGTAAGTGCCACCCAGTCTAAGGATGTCTTCAAGGCAGCAAACAATCCCAGGCTACTTCTATTATTATTATTATTATTATTATTATTATTATTATTATTATTATTGTCGAAGGCTTTCATGGCCGGAATCCATGGGTTGTTGTAGGTTTTTCGGGCTATATGACCATGTTCTGGAGGCAATTTTTCTCCTGACGTTTCGCCTGCATCTATGGCAAGCATCCTCAGAGGTAGTGAGGATGCTTGCCATAGATGCAGGCGAAACGTCAGGAGAAAATGCCTCTAGAACATGGCCATATAGCCCGGAAAAACCTACAACAACCCATTATTATTATTATTATTATTATTATTATTATTATTATTATTATTATTATTATTGTGTCTCCAGGCAGCAAGCAATCAAGGGCCAATACCATAAACTATGCTTGAGAACAGTGGACAGCTCCCAATCTGATTGCATTGGGTTTCAGAACCTTGGAGAGCTCCCAGCCATCCCTAGCAGTGGAGGGATTGCAGGTTGACAATAATAATAATAATAATAATAATAATAATAATAATAGTAATAATAATAATAATAATAATAATAATAATAATAATACTATGATGTCTCCAGATAGGCAGCAATCAGGGGCTAGTGGGTGCCACTCAGTCTAAGGATGTCTCCAAGGCAGCAAACAATGCAAAGGGAACAAAGCCCAGGCTACTTCAGTAACAACAACAACAACAACAACAATAATATGTCTTCAGGCAGTGAGTAATGAATGGCCAGTGAGTGCCACTCAGTCTAAGGATGTTTCCAAGGCAGTAAACAATTCAAAGGGAGCAAAGGACAGGCTACTTCAGTAATAATAATAACAACAACAACAACAACA